TCTCCCGCATAAAGAAATCACGTACGATTTTCAATCTAAATCAATTAATCTTAACAATGAAACAAACAATAGAGAGACATTCATGATGTGTTTCGCGGGTTCATTGGTTGATCGGATGACCATCAGTGAAGAATAACCGCTAGACAGTGTTATCTCCATAACAGTAGCCTCTGATAAGTTGTTCGTGAAAAATAGGACAACGCATTTCCCAGCTTACCTGATAGAAAGCATAAAACGAAATCCATAAATGAAAAACAACACTAGAGAGCGTATTATCCGTTTTAAAACGGATCAATGTTTTATGCAGCAATATGATTATCACCGAAGGACGCAAAGTATGAGGAAGATTTCATTCTGAAATTTATTTTTTGTTATGCATATTTAGTCATTTTTGTTACATGCACACTGTCTTCTGCCATAGTTCCCTTATCTTGATCAAGCAAGTACCATGAATGACATTCCTTTTCTCTATTTTCTGATATTATTCATTTAAAATCGTCCGGAGTGTCTCTCAGTTCAACTAATGAGTCATAACTCCTGCTTACCGTACCGAAAACTTTATGAAAAAATTTTTGCCACAAATCGTGCTCAATCACGCAAGTGTAAAGGATATGCTATCGCCTCTCTAAGAAACAGCCTGTCAGCCAGTGGAGCACGCCGCTAGCAATTCACTGTCCTGTGGGTAAGTAACACCATTGGCATGATACTAATCGCCTTGATAAGCAGTAAGGAAGGCGTTTGTTGCAGTAAGGCAAGAAATCAGCGTAACAGGTGACAGCATCAGATGTAGAACGATATGCTGTAACGGCAAACTGTAAATCGAGCAGTATGTTAGGACAGCAGAGCTGTTATGTTCGCGTCCACGCATGTGCGAACCGCACTTTTGAGATAAGTAGAATGTAAACTCGTTCTTTCCTCGCGCTGGAACGAAATTATGAAGCAGATTCCATGATAACAATTTTCATACTTCCATGATGAACTTATCACAATCTGACTGGACCGATTTATACTGTAACGTTTCCCGCTATGGCATTCCATAAATTAGGATTTAGAGTGATTTAAAACGTTGGAGAATATGTACAGAATAAATAACGTAAAGGATTTCTCGAATATACGAAAATACATCGACTATATATTATCAACAGTCTAAAAATAGATTCAAAGTGGCAACAAAACCATGTAAATTTAGATCATGATAACATCTAAATGTATCGTAGGCCCGGAAGACAGAACTACCTCAAAAGTACAAAAAATTTATAAATTCTGAATATTACTGTCATGTTATTAATGCATCTCACGATTAAGGGAAACGCTCCACACTAGCATATTCGTCGTTGCCAGTACTACGCGATGCAGCAGATGAGATTTAACTTGTGAATCTCGATATCAGGAGCAGAAAAATGCGAAACAAAATGGCCAGATTTAAACAGTAGCAGGTAGCGTTCAAAACTTACTCTGATAGAAGGCTCCACAACAAGACAGTAAGGTTGGTTTTGGTACATCTGAATCTCTCCAATGATGTCCGCAATTTTACGACATTTCGAGAAGCTTATGAGAGTAGCCGTTTCTGTATCGGACGCATCTGTCTCGCTCGTCTGGTGTGACAGTGGCATCTTCAAAAATATCGGATTGCCCTCTTCCAAAAATATGATGTTAGTCAGATACATGCCTGAAAACAAAATAAGAAGTTTAAACACAATGCGAGATACTTTTACGCTCGTCATTTTAGATAACCTCTATTAAAAGACAATCTGAAGGACTGCGCAATAAACGTTATACAACAATTTGAACACCAGCTGTTTTTAAAAATAAAACGCATCTCCAAGTTTCAGATAATCGGAAGGCAAAACATTATAAGTCTAAGAGTATTTTCATACTTTAACGTCGGAATGAATTCGAAAAGATGAGAAAGTCAAATGCTTTATGTTATATGGCAACCAGCATTTAAGTCAGTACATCATTCAGACAGCCGTATTAAATTAAACAATGACTGCGAATGAACAAAAAACTTTAGTAAAAACGGGTCATACTCTGAATGACAGAAAACAGGAAACTACGTACCAAAGAAAGGAACACAAGGAGGATTGATGGAACGGAGTCGCTCACGAATCAACTTGTGATGCGCATCTGACAAAATCTGTTTCACTTCATCGAAGGCTTTCAGCAGCTTTTGATCGAGTCTCTAGAAAATATCTTAAAGGGAAAAACGATGAAGACAAACCTTGCTTACTTCCCACGTGTAGTAGAGTCGATGAACTGGTGACGACTCTAGCACTCCATAAATTTCAAATAAACCTGTGAAATTGTTCAGTTCCTCGAAAACACACATAATCTCGACGATTCGGTTCATGACGGCCACTCGTTCGCCGATGTTACTACATTCGACGATGCATTTTTCAAGCCAGT